CCACCCGCCCACCGCCCGCCGCTCCAGTCTGGCGCCCTCACCAGCCTGGCACCGGCCAAGGGGGCTTGGGGCTCACGCGGGACGCGAGACCCTCCTACCGCTCTGGAAACCCTAGCTTCAGTGGTTCTGGGGACCCGCACCTCCTAAACTTTTTGTTGTAGAAACCTGGGAAGTCCACCTTCAGTGTGCCCGGAAAGTAACCTTTTCTGCTACTTCTCCAAGGAGTTGCTTCTGTGTGACATCTGCTTCCTGTGCTGGAGCCTAAGGGTCACTTATCTCCTGGGAAAATCTGGAACCTTTGCTTTCGGAAGTTATGGCGACCTTCGCCCTCTTCAGGGCTGTAACATTTTTCTCCGGGAGCAGAACTGTGAAAATTCCGAGCTCTGTACTTCATGCACAGACGCTTGAATTTCTGGGATGCCCCTGTGTGAGGGGAACGGGAGGGGATGGCCCTGGAGGGGACGGCGTGAGCTGTGGCAGGAGGGGACAGGAGCTGTCCCGGGCGGGCCCACGCGCACTCCGTCAGGCCAGGTGGGTCTTCCCCAGCACCCCGAGTGAGCACTCGCTCAAGCTTGTTTTCATTCTAACTCGGAAGTATTGGCGACATCGTCCTCACCTGGACCTGGCTCCTATTTACGGTCCCCATGAGGGTTGAAAACGCTCTTACATTGTACCCTCGGGAATACTGCAAGTAGATTAGAATAAGTTCAGGCTTCCTCCTGCATGCCAGGCACTCAGTCTGCCCCGCACGGCTACTGGTCAGTGTCCAGTGGGGGGATCCATTTCTGCAGAAGAAATTTGGGGTGCGGTCATCAGAAGGAGCAGGATGGATTCGAGGTAGGCAGAGCTGTCATCCACAGTGTTTCAGACGTGACCACATGCCCCGTGAATGCCCTGTGAATGAGCAGTGAGCGAGTGTGTAAAGCTGCAGGGCAAAGGCGCCTGTCCAGGGTGTCCAGGAAGAGCCCTCGGTGGCCCGGGCCGGGCGTGCCAGCGGGCAGCACGTGCCTGCACCAAAGGCGGCACCCACACTGCGGGCTGTGTCGGGGGCCCGGGGCCAGTGAAAGCGCCCAGCGGCCGGAGCTGGGGCAAGGCCAGCGTGAGAACAAAGTGTGCCCCACGTCTATACGTCCATGGTGACGCCGACCCGAGTGAGTGGCTGACGGCGGGGGAGCAGTCAGTCCCCCGCGCAGACAGTGCGGTGGCTTCCGGGCCACCCGTCCTCAGGCGGGGAGCTCGCCGCACTCCTTAGGTGTAGGCACAGGACAGTGTAGGCTAAAGGGTAACGTGGGCTGGAGGAGCCTGACGGACACGCCTCCGCCAGGGGCTGTGGTCAGTGCCAACGGTGACAGGTCATGTCAACCCCAGGGGCCTGCACAGGGTGTGACAAGCAGGGCGCTGGCCCTCTGTGGTCTCCCCCGACAGCCGTGTCCCCGTCCACTGTCCAGTCAGGAGAGGTCTCCGAGCTAATCGCAGCTGAGGGGCTTCCTACAAAACACCTGAGCAGCCCTCCTCAAGACCGTCAGCGAGAAAAGTCTGAGAAACTGTCATGGCCCAGAGGAGACCCAAGGAGTGATGTGTCTGGTGTCCTGGACAGAAAAAGGACATTAAGTCAGATCCGAGGCGATCTGAGCTTAGTGCTTATGTGTTAATAGCAGCCCATTAATTGTGACAAATGTACCTGCTAACACAGGACTTTGGTAACAGGGACACCCCGTGTGGGTGTGGCAAATCTCTGTGCTGTCATGTCAGTTTTTATTTAAAATGGTTCTCAAAAATAAAGTCTATTTTAAACAGTAGTGTTTTGAAAAAGCTAATAATTCCTTAGAAGATCCTTTTGTGTCCTCATCCTTTGCCCTAAGTACCATCCCAACTTCCTATTGATTATTCCCTTGTTGTCTTTGTAGATTCATCACCTTTGTTTGTCACCCTGAAGAGCACGTGCCTCCATCCAGGGCACCTGCTCACCAGGAGCCCCAGGTGGGGCCAGGTTCCGGGGGGGGGGGCGGCAGGGCGTGAAGGCTGTGGATGGTGGCCTCCAAGGAGGAGTCTCGGGCTTGGCGAGCAGCTGCTGCCTCACCATGGGCAGGTAGCCCTAGCGGAGGCGAGGCCGTCTGTTTGGCCGAGTCAGACAGTGCTTCTGGGGACTCCACATGGGGCTCAAAGCAGACGGTGTCAGAAGTGCTGAGTAGGAGTTTTGGGGGGCAGCCTGGGGGCAGCCCGAGAGCCTAGTCCCCTGGGCTCACGCCCGTGGGTTTTGGGGTGACCGCTGTCCAGGAGGAGTCTCAGTTACATAGCATTAATGCAAGTTGGCACTTTCCCTGGGGGAAACACTCCCAGATGAAGGGCACACACCGACTGTGACCTCGGAAATCGGGGAGAAACAGCGGGCAGGGTGTGACAGTCCAGCAAGGTGGGCGAGCTTTTGGGGCCTCCTCGAGTGATCGATTCTGCGGTTACGTCTTGAGTTGCGTCGCTGGTCCCTGCCGTGTAATATTTGACCGTGTCATTGGTGATCTTTGAGAGGAGTGTTTGGTTTCACTCTGGCCTCATCAGGGTGACAGAAGGGACGACGGCCTGCTCCTGCATTTCCTGCAGAGGCTCCTGACTGGCCGGCCACTGCCCGCAGCCCCGGCAGCCCCCAGACCACGAAGGACCGCACATATCTGAGCGGGGGACCCAGGAGCCGGTCCTCGTAGACAGGGGCGCGTGCGGGGCGCTGCAGGCAGACAGTCCCGTGCTGCTGTCTCTGCTCCTGTCCACCTGGGTGCATCTCAGGTGTCGCCTCCCTCCTGAACGCGTGCGGGGTGTGGGAGGTTATGGGTCCCAGACGCGGGACTCGGACTCGCTGCCCTCGCAGGTGTGGGAGAGCCCCGCCGTCCAGCCCGGGGCTGAGCTGCTGTCCGTAGTGGGCCCGCGTCCAGGAATGTGGGCCGACGGTCTGTTTGCTGGCGATGCCGCTGTCTGTGTTCTGCGTGACCTAGAGACGAGGTCCCCATTGACGTGGGTGATGTGACGCCCAAATTGCGTCTCCCAGACGCGGGTCCGCGCAGGGAAGCCCCGCAGAGCGCTGGGGAAGCCACAGGCCGTGGGTGCTTTCACTGTCCCTTGTCTTGGATTACCCTAAGCATGAGTGGCTTGAGAACTAATTAGAACAACAAATTAAAAATAAATTTTCCCAGCAACGTGAAAAAGGTTGAGCCTGCTTAGTGCC